ATGAGAGAGACGGCTTTGGCTATCCATTGTTGTTGATGGATAAGATGGACGATCGCACTGTGGCTCCCTTTGTGGATTCTTTATGAGCCTGGTGGGCGCTTAACTGATTGATTTGAATTGTGGGATATACAGATGCCCATTGGTACGGTAGTGCTGACTGACTGGCGAATGAGAAACGGGAAGTAGTACAATGGAAGATTGTTCCAACAAATGCAATATATATCAACAAATGACAACAATGACCATTGGATATAATATAATGGTATTGGTACAAATCATGAGGGTGATTTGATGTGTTAGCATGCTGAGTTGTTTCGATAAAAGGAACCAACCAACTCACTCGTATCAGCTCCTATGTTCAAAGTCCCGAGAGTATTCATTACGAGAGTCGAGAAAAAGTGACCAAGTATACATGTAACATTTAAAAGGCTTTGACATTTTGACAAACGAACTAACTAACTTCATTCAGGGTAGGTATGGGCTGATTGGAACAAAAGATAGATAATAAAAACTTTGAAAAATACTGATCGCAAAGATGTTAATGAAGTTTCCGAGTTCATGCATGAATTCAGTCTCGTGACAGCCCTTTTTGTCATTTTTGAGATATTTTTTTGCATTGAACTGTTCGGTTGTTGGGGAATTGAGATTATTTTGAGACTTCTTTATTCTTTCTGATGATGGATTAATTTTCAACACTACAATCCGAGTAAATGGAAACGAAAAAAAAAGTGATGAACAGTTTTTTTACTCGTTGGCCTGTTTGTCAAATCATTTTATCGTGATATTGCACGGTTCCCAAAGGATTTCGGACAGTGGATATTAGAAAGGATTTGTAGGAAGATCTATTATTCCAAGTAGTTATCTCTCTGTTCACAGAGAGAAATTACACGAACTTGAAAAATGGAAGAGTTGACTTTGCGTCATCAGGGAACAGATGAATGACAGGAGCTGATTATGGAATGTACCGAAGAAAAAATTAAATAACCAATGCGGCGGTATCATGGGAAATTTATACAAAATGCATCAAAATGAAACAAAACTCGTGCGAGTATTGAACATAAAACGCAACATTTCTCTAAAAAACAAAAAAAGACTCACCACAAAATCAAGAAAACTTCTGGAAAAGTGAGAAGTTTCTAAGCGAGTTCGCGTGAAACTCGACGATAAAATCAAAACGGTGATAACCGTTCATTGAAACGGAATGTATGCGGAAGTGAGAGGCGGCGTGCAAGATCCTTGTAGGCTTGCGTATGAACAAACCGACTGAAGCAATCCTTCTCCATAAGCCTATAGATTTGCGATTGAGCCTTGTCGAAGATTGTATTCGGCACACTGGCGGCATCCATCAGCTGGACACGTTCAATGATCTCGGTTCGAGTGTCGTGATCGATATTGATAGCGAGTGGAGAGTCGGTGGCGATGAACGTCTCGAACATCTCACGTACCATTCTCTCGAATGCCGTACGGTCCTCGACGCACAGTCGAAGCTCTTGAACAGCCCACCTGTAACAGGTCTCTCGATACTGGTGTATCTAAGATTTCTGCGAAGTATAGGAGGTAAACACCTTTGGAAGAGTTCTTGGGAGTTTGGTAGATAATGGGAAGGTTCTTAAGGAGTGTTTAAGGAGTATATTGTGATTTATATTGCGATCATTCGATCATATGGTTCGAATCTGAACTGATATTTGAGATTGTTGCTGCAAATTGATTCAAACATTCACTAATTACGGTGAGATTGATAGATGAGACTTTACGAGGCGAAAAGATCAATGAAATTGTTGCGGTGTTAAGCAGTTCAATTGCGATGAGTTAAACACTGCTGAATTTATTCTTTTTCATAGGATATTAATTCATAGATATTTTCATAGGATGCCAATACACAGTACTAAACGGGATATTAATTCTAAATTTATAGACGAATAAGCGAACTCGGATACGAGAAAAATTTTGATTTATGTATATATCCGGGCCGACAGAGGTGGGAACGTGGTATGGATACACTTTAATTTTATTTTCCAATTACTTCAGAGGTTCACTTCAAAATGAAAACTTATTATGGATGAAACCACAATTTTATACGTCTTTTCATTTGCATCGAATTTTCAATTTCAGAACATTTCTCTCACTTCTAGTGAATTAAAGCAAAAACATGAAAGTCATTGAGTGAATATTATTCAACACAAAGACAGTGCAACAAACAGATCCACTTATCTGAAAGATCTACTCGAATGAAATCATCCTTAGGGGAGATTTCGCATAGTTCATTAGGCCATACCCGCAGCTTATAGATTGAACAGTTTCATTGCTGTTTCATTGTGGTTGCTGTTTGTGCTGGGACTGTGAACATATCGTTCATTTTGAGAATGATGAAACAGTCGATGCAGATTTTTGTGTTCTAAGACCTCTTGGTATTCTTTTATGAGATGGATAAATTTGATAAAACCGCACTGGCTTATGGTGTGTATCTTCAACTCAATAGAATAGGTCATTGTAGAAAATCTCCAGCATATCCCTTTAGAATATCCCTTTGTCAGTACCAATCCAACTATTCAAAGAGTGCATCCCATCAAAATGTGTGTCAATCCACTTGTGAATCTTTCAACTCAAGTGATTTGTTTATCATGCTAACAATAGAGCGCTGTCAATCTCAGTTTCAAAATCATCGTAAATGAACGCAAAAGCATGCATGGAATTGGCTAATAAGAAACTGGCTAATCACAAAACGTCGATAAACGAATTATTGAGTGAATCAGTGGGTAACAGCATCAGTTCCTATCACAAAGATCTCAGAAAGTGCAAAGCAGTTTCTTGTATGGGATAATTGACTATGACATTCCTTAAAATGCTTGATTGGCTAATCAAATCATGAGAAGTCTCTCGATTGAACGTTATTTTTGCGGAAATTAATGGAAATACTGACGGAAGCACATTCAGGAAGCGATTGTCGATCGTAATTCAGCTGCTCATTGTCGTGTGCATTGTAGTGAAGGTGAGAATTACTCGGAGAATAGAAATGTTTGATAGTGCTGACATTGAACTGATTAACTCACCAGAACAGAATATTCTCCTCGCTGTATTCACTTTGCAAGAACTTCGTAAATTCGTTCCGCCCTTCATCGTCAGTGATCACTCTGTCGAAAGCGAACGTCCATTCATTGGAGCTGAAATTTTGGAATTTGCAGTTTTTTCGTAGGGATATGGGAACAATCTTGAGAATTTCTATGGATATTTTGGAATATTTTGCAGAAATTCTCTGATTTTAGGTAATCAATCCGGTTAATGTTTCTTCTTCCAGAGGATTTCTCAAGACGTAGGAGACAACACAAAGGTCGTCGTGGTAGGATTAAAATGAAGCCTTCTGAAAGATGACATAGTTTACCTTTGCCTCTGAACTGCCGAAGGAGAAGTTGAGTGGGGATGATTATTGTTAACGTTATTGGAACCGGACGACTGATTATGTGCTTCGTTTGGACGTCTTCTCCGCGTTCCTGAAATGAGTTCCTTGAGTTTATTGACCAAAACCGACCAAAACTTAGTCTGGAATCCCTCGAGAGGCTGTTGTTTCTTCAGTCTTAAAATCGGAAACTTCTCTGGAATATGCGCTCTAAAATCATGAAATCCAGCGTGTTGAAATTCAGAGTACTGTGTCATACGATTAGATCTGTCCGGTTTAGAGCAGAAGTGCATAAAATAAATCTAAAGTGGTGCTTAGGAATCATCTTAATTTCTTGAAAGCAATTGCTATTAGCTTGCAAATGTGGCGTGGACAATTCGTTTGATTTAATGAGTTTTCATTGTCGTTATCGTTATGGTGAGTTGGACTCGGAAAAGAGATTAGATTATCTGCCTAATGCACTATGTGTTTCGCTCGCTTCAGTCGGCGTTCTCATCCCTAATGATGTGATGGATGTGAATGAGAGTCAATCATAGCAGAACAATAATGGGCTCTTCGATGGGAAATTCTAATTGTGCTGCATGCCTGGAACTTCGCTTTTTTTTGCGAAAATTTGAGGCATACAAGAGAGAGATTAAAAGATAACCGAGTGCTTATAACAAAAACAAAGCAATATTTGCATCTTACGGGCTAATCAGATCTCTCAAGATCATGTTTAGATTTTAGAAGATCCATTTTTGCGGCTTATCTAATTGCTCATAAAATTTATCTGAGCATAGATCATAGAATTTAGAAAATTCTGGTCTTTGAATGAAATTATTCAACAATGACCTTTCGCCGAAGCAAAAGCCGATCCTATACTGCTTAAAATCATTCAAACGTGCTATGATTTCGCCTAGATATGATGCCACTCAACAGTGAGATTATGTTGCCAAAGCAA